ACAGAAATGGAAATTGCTGATGATTGTATGACAATCATAAAAACTCCTAAAAATATGGCAGACATGTTCAAAACACTTCCAGTAAAAGTATTTGCACGTGCAAACAAGAGCGACGTGACAAAGGTAAAGAGTGAATGAAAATATTTTGCCACTTTCGAATACAAAAATGTAAATAACAACAACAAAAAAAAAGCTGCGAAGAACTACCTATCGAAGGCCGCCCACAACTCTTAATCCATGACCTGCTACAATATTCGTAAAAAATCATATCTGCACATGAAGTAGTTTTCTGAGGACAACTGTTTTCTCAGATGAACCAAATTATTCAAGGTCTTCCAAATGTGTGTTGTTATTGGCTTCAGATAGGTTGCATCTTTATCTGACATGAATGAAAAGCTCATTTCCTAAAATCAAAATTTTAAAGAATTGCTTTTACTATGGGCGGCAACCAGTCGACCACCGTGCCGGTGGTCGACTGGTTAGCACGTCGGTCAACTAGTTAGCGCGAGAGAGAGAGAGAGAACGAGAGGTGGGGAGGCAGTGTTCCTGTGCCCGACCTCACAGTGCAGAGGTCGTGGGTTCGAGCCCGGCTCCGGCCTTCCTGTGTGGAGTTTGCATGTTCTCTCCGTGCCTGCGTGAGTTTTCTCCTCCCACATTCCAAAAACATGCATGGCAGGTTAAAGGAACACTCTAAATTGTCCCTAGGTGAGAGTGTGAGCGTGAATGGTTGTCTATGTGTGCCCAGCGATTGGTTGGCAAACAGTTCAGGCTGTACCCTGACTACTGCCCGAAGATAGCTAGCAAGGACTCCAGCATGCCCGCGACCCTCTTGATGGTAAGCGGATTAGAAAATGAATGGATGGATGCATGTTTTTATTATGCCATTAAAAAAATATTTCTAATGTTGAAGAAAAGAGCTTTTCAAATGTCAGTAAATTTTCATTACCATTGTTTCCCTCCAGAAGTCATTACTAAAGTTCTCCCCCTACTGTCACTCTTTGCATTACCTATGCTACAGTGCTCCTCTTGCTTCTTCTGTGCTCTTTCTAAATGCTCATATTGAGTTTTCCTCTGCCTCCTCTCTTGACAGATGATAGACAAGAGACTGCATTGAACCTGTCTACCAATGGCATTAGCAGCATCAACATGTCAATAGAAATAAATGGAGTTGTCTACACAGGTAAATAGAGGGGCCGTTTGCTGATGTAATTGCAGGCAGGAAATTCAATAAGTTATAGCAGCACCCTGCTTAGTTCTCAGCACAATTTGATGTCTTTGCAATAAAATCCAAGCGTAATGAAGTGGCAGTCCAATAGAATTAAAAAGGTTAAATATCTCAAAACTCTGCCTGTGGATTCAAGGTCGATGGGACTTATTGTCAAAGTGTGTGTTTTGTGCGTTTGTGTGCTTGCATGTGTGTGTGTGTGTGTGTGTGTGTTATTGTTCATCCACGTGTGTGTTATCGTGCATCTACGTATGTGTGTGTGTGTGTGTGTGTGTGTGTGTGTGTGTGTGTGTGTGTGTGTGTGTGTGTGTGTGTGTGCGTGCTTGCGGGTCTGACCAAGACAACTTGGTGTAATTATCGCCTCTCTGCTCTTAAAAAGATAACGTACTATATGCTTGATGGTTGTCACTTCATAAATGAGCTCACTCTTGGGAAGCCAATGTTCAACAGCCATAGATTGAATTCATCCAGTTCAGAGTGCTACAGCAGGCAGGCAGACACTCTTTTATGGTAATTGTCCCCAATATAGAAGTGTAGTGGTGAAAATGCAGAACCGTGATGTACAGAGGCAAATTTCATCCAAAATCCTAGAATGCACAAGAGAAATAATAAAGTCTGAGAAATAAAGAGAAAACATGCTTTGTACTGTGTTGACATGTACTATGTGAAGATATTGTGTATTGTGACGCCACTGCAATTCTCTACAATGGCTTGCAAGCATTTATACCACTTGAAGTTTTCTAATGGTATAACCACAAACATCAATGTATTTTACTAGGATTTCGTGGGCTTGACCAACACAGAGTTGTGCATAATGACCTGATCGGAAAATTAATTGAAATATTTTTACAAATTAAAAAATGAAAAATCTTCTTTTCCTTCCGGCTTTTTGCTTCAGGGGTCGCCACAGTGAATCAGTTACCTCCATCTAACCCTTTTTTGTGCATCTTCTTCTCTCACACCAGCTACCTTCATGTCCTCTATCACTACATCCATAAACCTCCTCTTTGGTCTTCCTCTCAGCCTCCTGATTGGCAGTTCAAAACTCAGCATCCTTCTCCCAATATATTCACTCTCTCACCTCTGGACATGTCCAAACCATCTCAGTCTGGCCTCTCTGATTTTCTCTCCAAAACCTCTGACATGAATTGTCCCTCTGACGTACTCATTCCTGATTCTATCCAAGCTGGTCATCCCCAAAGAGAACCTCAACATCTTCATCTATGCTACCTCCAGCTCTGCCTCCTGTCTTTTGTTCAGCGGCACTGTCTCCAGTCCAGACAGCATGTCTGGTCTCACCGCAGTTTTATACACCTTTCCTTTCATCTTAGCTGAAATTCTTCTATCACACATCACACCTGACACTTTTCTTCACCCGTTCCAGCCTGCCTGTACACACTTCTTCACCTCTTTTCCACATTCTCCATTGCTCTGGACAGTTGACCCCAAGTACTTAAAATCCTCCACCGTCTTTATCTCTTCTACCTGCACTGCTCTAACATACTTCTCTGTCACCCCAGACTTCCTTGACGAAAAAATGAAAAATGTGGAATGTAAAAGATTCAGCCCAGACCCATCCCAAGACCTGATCCTTACGGGTGTCACAATAAATAAACAGTGAGAGGTCGGGGTGTAATTGGCCCGGTCATTGGTATTAGTACTAGAACCCAGCCGCTGGGGGGCAGTGCCCTCCCGTGGGGGTGCACTGTTCCCCAGTGCCGGTCCCAAGCCCGGAGAAATGGGGAGGGTTGCGTCAGGAATGGCATCCGGCGTAAAACTTTTGCCAAGACGACCATGCGAGTTGGTAGGACGGTTTACAGGGGCGGATGGAAATTACTGACTCGCTGTGGCGACCCCTGAATAGGGACGTGCCGAAAGGAGAAGAAGAAGATTGGTATTAGTACTAGACAGAGAGTACATAGTTTGCTCTATATTTCTGATGCTACTGTACTTTATTCACACAGCACTGCCGCTCCCTAGTCAGTAGTCTTGAATGCGCCCTTAACGCCACTGGCAAGTATTACCATAGACAACATTTACAGTACATATGTATGTTGTTCATACATATACATGAGTCCGTCCATGCCGCAGCTACATTGGATGCGGCAGAGTGAAACAAATTGTGAATATGCCTAGTTCACTTGCACCTTTAAAATACATCATTAAGTAAGAAACCACAGAATTAATACGGAATGATTGCCTCTAATTGTGTGATGTTATTCTAACCCAATTTTACAAATCCAATTTTCCAATTTTATGGCTAATACAACGGCTGTTCCGAACGTAGCCGACACACTGACATATGCCTCACATTGGCCTACCGGCTCAAGGTGCTTTCTGCAGCAGAAACAGAAAGAAAAAAAAAGAAAATCAATCGTCATCTTAGATGTCAAAAAGATTTGTGGCTCCCATTGTTTCTTTTTTGAAACAGGTTCAAATGGCTCTTCAGTTGCTGACTCCAACTTAAATATGTCCCCCCTTCACTTAACATAGTGAGACTGTGTCAGGGAAAGTCCTGAATGTGTAATTGTAGAAAAGCTTAAGATGGCTTACTGTTCAAAAACTGTTCATGGTCACTTCAATCTCTGAACACATCAGAACGTTCCCCAGTACTTCAGATTTTTTTGGCCAATAAGCATTTTCTTCTTAATAGAGCTGCTCACTAAAGAAGTTTTTGTCACTTGATGTAGACAACTCTTCATCCATAAAATCTGAAATAATTGCTCTGATATTTTTAGAGGTTGAAGTGGCACAAGTAGAGATGAATACATCTATTTGGTGACAGCTGATTGCAGTTTTGTGACATGAAGTTAGCGAAGATTTTTTACTTGACATTTACTTTTGGAGAGGACTGTAAATAATATCATATTTACGCAACTGGCAGCGATCAGCCTGGGATGGGAACGATAAAATGCCCTTTACTATTTTTCCTTAAATTTGTGGTGTCGTAGGAAACAATCATTTTCTTCAAAAGGGAGAGTCGATGACTGAGTCAATTCAAAACTGCTGATTAAAACTTTCCACACACTATGGATACAATATAAGGAACAATTATCATAAAATGTTGAATTTGGTATAGATAGATTCATTGCCAGCTGTAAGAGTGTTAACTGAGGGGGCAAGGCATTTGGTGGAGGTGGACAAGGTGATAAGGTAGATCTGTCAGACTGGAAATTCCCCAATAGTCTGATATAATTCACTGTACTATGGCTACTGTCCTTTTAAAAGATTCAACATTATTTGCCGTCTGGCCCTGAATGACACTATGACACACCACACTAGATTGGGGTCAAACAATTTTCCATAGAGAAACATTTAAGGTCTGAAAACTAGTAACTACATGGTCTTAATCACAACAACAAATAACTAAACACAACAGCATATCAAAAACTGCAACATAAAATTACTAAACACGGGAGTAAATTGTCGTGTTTTTGTAATGCTGTTGTGTTCAGTTATTTGTTGCTGCGATTCATTTGTTGCTGTAGTGTTTTGTTTTTTTTTAATTGCTCTGTTCCGTTATTTGTTGTGTTTTTTAAAATTTGCTTTCACATTTATTTTTGTTTGTTGTTATGATTTTAATTTGGCTGTCTTCAAATTGTATGATGCTATCTGGCAGCCCAAAGAATGTAATTTCCCACAGACAAACTAAATCCAATTAAATATTATTTTTATCTTTTAAGATGATCTCTTCAGAAACAATAATTCCTGTTATTGTCTCTAAAAAAAGATTATGACAAATCAAATGCTGATTTTAATTTTGTTTGCTTTCTAGGGGTCCTATTTGCTAGGCATTCATACCAGGGATCATAGGACATCATGGAAGACAAAGCCAATGTACAACTCAGCAAAAGTTCCAGCCGTCTTGCTCTTCCTCTTCTTCATTTGCTTCCGCAGTTTATAAGCACAGGAATTCTGTGTCCTTGCCTTAAGTTTCCTGTTGTTCCCTCTTCTATTCTTCCCACTCTTTCGAGATGATCTGTACGTGCAACAATAACAGACTGTCACAATTAGGTAAATAGTTTCATTCAGTTATTTCTGAGGATTGAATAATTTTGCACTGCAAGATAATCTTTACACACAGTGACGACCAATTAGGTAAATAGTTTCATTCAGTTATTTCTGAGTTTGAATAATTTTGCACTGAAAGATAATCTTTACACACAGTGACGATACGTCATTTTCAAGTAATGAGAGTTGTTGCGTCAGCAATTAGTTATTTAGTTAGTAGTAGGATGTGGAAACATCTGCTCATGGACACACTGTCTCTTCATAGCTCTCACTATGTTCCCTCATTAATGCGTATCTGGATTTATTTCCTTTTTATAGATGTACATTACATGACACAAACCAAATACATACTTTCATGCAGTTGCAGTGCTGAGGTTCCCTTTACTTATACAAATAGTATTGGTTTGAGTAAGGCATATACTGTATAGATAAATCTATATCTATATATCTCTAGGCGGCCTGATGGTCGACTGGTTGGCGTGTCGGCCTCACAGTGCAGAGGTGCAGGGTTTGATGAAAGCCCTGGCCTTCCTGTATGGAGTTTGCATGTTCTCCCTGTGCCTGCGTGGGTTTTCCCCGGGTACTCCAGTTTATTCCCACATTCCCAAAACATGCGTGGCAGGTTGATGGAACGCTCAAAATTGTCCTTAAGTGTGAGTGTGTGCACGGATGGTTGTCCGTCACTGTGTGCCCTGCGATTGACTGGCAACTGGTTTAGGGTGTTACCCGCCGACTGCCTGAAGAGCTCCAGCACCCCCCGCAACCCTTGTGAGGATTGAGGATTAAGCGGATCAGAAAATGGATGGTTGGATCTATCTATCTATCTATCTATCTATCTATCTATCTATCTATCTATCTATCTATCTATCTATCTATCCATCCATCCATCCATCCATCCATATATAGACTATCCCAGCTGTCTTTGGGTAGTAGGCGGTAGTCACCTTGACCCGGTTGCCAGCCAATCGCAGGCCACAAATCGGCGAATAACCATCCACGCGCC